GACGGGCGTTACGTCGCGTCGACGCCCGTCATCGTGAAGTCTGAACGCTGCCATAGCTTTGCTTTGCTCAACGAGTGAGTTTTAAATGCTGCTGTCCCGAATTCATATTTTACATTCATATTTAGCTACTACTTCACTTCATTTCTTTTTCGTTCTTTTATCGGTTTAAGCCTTTCTGGCTATTCAGACTGGTGCTTTAGGTATATCGAATATTATGCAGGTTGTCATATAAGATCTTTTTGAGATTTATTCGGGTAATTTCATGCGGTGTTTTACAAGTAGAGTTATTTGCATGAAGAATATGATAAATTCATTGAGAACAGTGTGACTGTCACATGAACTCCCCTGTGTGAGACGGACAAGACAATCGTAATTTGTCGCGTCGTCGCTCGCGGCGTGACGACGTGAGGCGATGCGCGGTAAATCCGTGTTGTGCATCACTTGTTTGATTGGGGAAGCGGACTCGTCTAAATGTAATCGAAGGTAATACCTGATGGCGGGCGATATCAATTTCCCCTCCTTTGGACTGTCGGACTCAAACGGCCAGACAGGACAACTCGTCCATCTTACTCGGCATCGCTTGCCACGCCCACCAGCGCGACATATTACGATTACCCTGTCACGACCTCCCCCCTCGTATTCGAATGTAGAATATCTAGCTTCTTATCAGTATTGACTGTAGTCGTCGTCATCTTCCCCGTCCGATGAAGCAATTCCGACCTGTCAAAGAAAACGGTTTTGGCTGCGTTGAATACAATTAGAGGTGTAATTCCTGTACCTCTTCATAGTCTTTTTCGAGAGCTGCCAAATCTTCTCGTGCCTCACTAAATTCTCCCTCTTCCATTCCTTCTCCGACATACCTGAAATTAGGTTTTGCCCGCTTTTTCTTAACTCATATACTCTAGTTCGCTACGGATGAAGGGACGTATCAAGCAGTATGAGCGTGCCAGGGCGCCAACCCGCCACTTGGTACGAAAACCGAGTGATACGAATGATATGATGCAGTCTTGTGACTTGTCCTTCAACAACTGCTGAAGACGAGTTTGGCACCCGGCGCCAAAACTCAGCCCCTTTCGTCCGCACTGAACTAACCATGACTGGTGCTATCATTGTACATACCAAGTGCAACAAAGCTCCTCTTGCGCATACATCAACATCGAACTCTGTGATCGGAGTCTTGCCCAAAGCACTCAGCAATGGCGGGTGTGTGTTAGATAGCATGCAGACCGCTCGATGTAGCTTGGCGAGGTCGGCGCCTGGTACCACCGTGGGTGGCTGGTAGTTAATGCCAACCTCCAAAATGTTTATTTTATTGCGAATAAGTCGAATGAGAAACAATTAAAACATTCAACCTGAAAAACAGTCGGTGACAAGTCCACGAAATCTGTAATCGTCCTTTTCGTTTTCACAGCAGCAATGGCCGCGTTTACATCCTTTGGAACTACGTCGCCTCGGAAGAGACAGACAGCAAGCCTAGGTGGCTACGCTCAACTATAGTAATGTATCGAGTAAGAGTAATAGTCGGAAAAGAAAGAGTGAGGGCTCTGGGTCAAGAGCAACGCAAGAAGTTATCCTAAGCACTGAATTGACTAGTCGCAAGCCTCTGATAGAAGCTCTCCTTTCAGGTGTGCGCGTCTACCACTGTATTTTGTCCACAATGCTGTGGTCTTTGCGGCAGAAGGGCAGGACCCAGTTTGGGCGACGTAAAGGGGGCCATTCGGCATTTATCACTGCTTCAACATAACTTTCCGGCTTTACAAGTCACTCTGGCTAAAGTAAACACGCAGGTGAAGCTGGAGCTGGATGGTCGACAACATCAGAAAGCAAATTTCTCACCCCCCCCCCCCTCTCCCCGTCGCCGAACTGCGCGGAGGGCCAGAGCACGATATACACTTGGAGCTAGTTCAGCGTCCTAAAGAAGTGGTCAGAATGTCTTATTTCTTTGGCTTTCGGTAGCTTTTTGCTACGGGAGTTTTAGACACACAATGGCATGCACTGTACACTAACCTCCTGAGGAACTGTCTTTTTCCAAGTGCCGGGGCGCGCGTCAGTTTAATGGGTTCGCAACTGCGGTAGCATGCCACTTTCTCCGCTCGAAAGTACACGGGGAACGTGGCTGGGGGTGGGGCAGTGTTACCCTGATATATCTAGGATATTCCACCCACTTTATCCTCCATGTACAGCACTTGCGTCGATACCAAGATCCGCAGCGAAATGCGCACTCGGAGGTAGAGAACAGCAGCAAGTGGGAGGGCAGAGACAAGTAGCGCGTTTGGCTAGTGTCAGGCGTGTGGCTGTACGTACGGTGGCGGTGTACGGAAACGACATGTGGGTATCATAACTTTCCAGCCCCCTTCCCAAGCACCTTTGAGCGGAGGAAGTGGCACGCTCCTGCAGCTGTGGATCGTTTGAAACCACTATTTCCGCATTACGCATCGGACAAAGTAGGAGGGAAGGATAAATGGATAGGGAAGAGCAATTCTGGGAAAGAGATTCTGTCTTTACGGGACCTAATATTCATAACCGCTCCAAGAACACCTTCCGCCCCTGGGCTTTCAATAGCTCGTATTATACTCGTTTAAGATTGAGGAGTAAAACTGCGTCAAAGGGGAAGACTGAAGACGTCAAAGGATCAAGTTTTCGGTAAACATTGGGTAGGACCCACTTTCTGGGGTACACGGCGAGGAGGGGGGCAGAGAACTGTCAAGGAGTTTTAGCCGAAGCCGACTGAATAGCGCGTTTGACTGGGGTTAAACAAGGCCTTAGTCACCTATATTGTTAAATTGATCAAATCAACTGCTATGCCACTCACCATATATTTTCCTCGTCGTGGATCGCATTTCACCATCTGAGCTCCAGGCTCGAAACACTGTTGCGTGATATCGCCGACCTAGGAGAATGTTCATGAAAAGTCTATCCACTGAAGCTCGAACTTCAACGGATCTTCTGCTGGATACAATCTGGCTTTTCAGCGTCCTGCTACGAGACGTTTTGTAGAATTTTTTTTGCTTCGAGGGCGAATTCCACGCCGATTATGAGGGCGGAGGCAGGCCGACTGGGATTCCCGTCCCACTGGTGAGTCCTTTTCCGGGTGTGATGAAGAAGAAGGGTGCCCGTGCGAAAGGCGTGCAGTGTATAGCTGGTAACGTCGCAATCAGACGGGGCGATGCCTGGAGGAGCTCCTTTCATCTCTTTTGAAACCACCCCGACTGACTGCAATCTTATTAACTGCCCGTTCAATCGGGACACATCACTGTTTGGGATTTTGATGGAGTCCGTGCAACCCTCCCCCCCCCCCCTCGATAAAAGCTCACTCGAAACAACCTCTCGCCCAGTGCCCTCCTCTGATTCCAAAGAGCTGTCGAGCCGGAGTTATTATAGCACATGTGAAACGGGAAAGAACCGCGAGGAAATATGCCCCCTTCCTCATCCAACCAACCACTTGCTTGATTCGTCCAACTTCCTACCACTTTTTCCAATTTTTCCGGGATTTCTCGAGAGTTTTCCTACTTTTCCTCCCAAAGTTTTGCTGTCGAGGAAAAACCACGACCATACGTCCACACGTCTCGAACCACGTCAACAACCGGGAGAAGTTTTTCCCGACGCCGCAAAGTTCTCCCAGAAGGCAAATATGACCCCTCCCCCCTTATAGCGCCCGTGAAAACGAAAAATCAACTATCAAAAAAAGTCCTACAGACCAAATACGACCCCTCTCCCCAGTGACCATATACACCCCCTGCTGGGGAATCCCTCATGATGATGTGCCCTGCCTTCGATTGCTAGCTACACCGACGTGACATGCATTACTCTCTTGTGTTATTAATACATCTTTTTATGGCGTAAACCATCAAATATTAAACAGTTGTCCTCCAGCATTAGATGACTATGTCGGCAGTGTCAAGCCAACGTTCTTATGGAATACGTAATTCGAGAAATATCAAACTAACCGTCATTTGTTCATGAAATGCCTTTTCCGCGGAGATGATTGGTGCGTAAGTGGTCAGAGGGAAGTGTATGCGTGGATACGGTACGAGATTGGTCTCAAATCAGTTGACCATAGGCTTTCTCATGACTGTGGAATTAATCCTTCACTTACTTGGAATTCAGTCAAATCGACATTCAAAGCTCCATCAAAACGTAACGAAGCAGTGACGGAACTGATTACCTGAAGAAGTAGAATTCAACTTGCGGCTTCCCCAGTTGCGTGCTCTCTCTCTCCCTCTCTCTCTCACTCTCTGAGACAATAAGTGATGAAGATAAAGCCTTCGATAGCGATCGACCCCTCCTTGGGATGCGCCAGGCATTGTATTCCCACTCTTAATCATAGTGGCATGTGGACTACTTAGCCCACAAGATGTAGCTCAGTCAGCGCTTTTATCCTCTCAGACAAATTTGGTACCTAACTTTGGTCCGGCCCTCATCCAGGTCAACGGAACCTTCCAGTATGATACCCTGGAGGGATATTTAGAAGGCTTCGTTGGCCTGGAAGTGAGCCGGACCGAAATTTGCTCGACACACCGCGCGCATGCCAAAGCGATGGCTCTGACTACTGAACCACACCCCTAGAAGCAGTACAGTATTCATCCCTGCAAACGAGAGGGTGTGTGAAAGAGCGAGAATCGAAGCCTCACCATGGTAGCCATTTCCGCTTACTAGTGTCGCTTCAAGATGACATCAATTGGTGGAAAAGGCTGCCGTGGCTGCCATCCTACCCATCTCCCCTCGCGCGCTCAATTGGCGTAACATCATAAGAACTATACATGGCACTGAATATAGTGGCAGTTCGTCAGGGGTAGCCTCTCTTGGATAGCAGAAGAATTCTTTCCCACTTCGAGCATGTAAGATTGCCTGAAGGCGGAGGTGGTGTACTGTCTCCCTGTTCACGGTCCTGATTTCAAATTTTGGATACTCCGTTCTAGGGTCAGCAGTAAGATGACAGACGAGTCTGGAGAGATCAGCAGAGCACGTCTTGCCGTTGGGAAAAACCTTTGCAAAGTATTACATACCTCCCTCAAAAATTTTCCTCTGATACGACCCTAGAACGGAGTATCCAAAATTTGAAATCAGGACCGTGACTTCTGCCTCATTGCCCTGAAAGTGTTTCAAATTTTTCTTTATACCATTCATCTACGATTTTTGAAAACCTCGTTTATCTGTTGCCAAGAGAGCCATTGAACTGGGAAAGGGTGAGTGAGTTGAAAAGGGAAAAGTCAACAACCAAAAACATTCTATCAAGATGAAAATGGTATGTGTGGAACTGGATATATCGGCAGATATGTACGATTAGCCACCCCTCCTCCAGTGACCCAATACGTTCTCTCAATGCCCTCGCTGGGGACCCCGAATGTACCCAACGATTTGCCTAGAGGATGAAGGCACTGATTTGCGCAATGGTTGGATCCCGCAAGTGGGACCAGATCCCGTTCGAGATGCCATGACAGTTCTAAACGGAAGCATGGCGCACCCCGAAAAGGGATTGATCTGGTCTACAACTAAAGCTCTATCCCTCGTAAGCAACCTTACCTGAGCGATGAGTCGATTCAAATTCGTGTAAGTAGGACGAGCGAGATCCAAGTTCCGTCTGCAAATGTCATAGATAGCTTCGTTGTCCACCATAAATGAGCAGTCCGAATGTTCAAGAGTGGTATGTGTTGTCAGAATAGAATTGTACGGCTCAACCATTGATGTAGACACCTGCAAGGGTGAAGTACTGGGCTGGTTTCCTGGAAGCTAAGGTTGAAAGAATTGAAAAAAAAAAAATTCAGCCTCACCTGCGGAGCTGGATAGATGCAGAACTCCAGTTTACTTTTCTTACCGTAGTCAACCGATAGCCGTTCCATGAGAAGCGATGTGAATCCAGAGCCTGTACCACCACCAAACGAATGGAATATGAGAAAACCCTAGAATAACTTCGACTCTTACCACAGGGCTATTAAGAGCGATGTCGTCTTGGGATCAAAGGGCTACAGGGGCCACTAACATTTTGTGAGGTTTCAAAATAGCCAAATGTAAGGCAGACCACATTGTGAGAAAATTTCTACAATGTTCCCCAGAATTTCTCGCGAGTCTCGTAGCGAACACGCTGTTAAAGGAAGAGAACACCAGAAGTGAGAGGGCGCAGACAAGTAGGGCGTTTGGCTATGGTAAGGCGTGTGGCTGGTTTTTCGGACGCCACTTGTGCGCCGTTTGCCGGTGGGCGGAGACGCAAAGGGTATAGTGCTATCGTTGCCTCAGACCACATTTCTGCGCACTGCCGAATGAGAAAAATTTTGCAAGTGCCCATCCATTCTCTTCGTAGAGGATCAAAATTCTCGGATTCGAGAGTACATTTCATCTCCAAGTTATAGTCAGAGGGGATATCAGAAGAATAGGGTAGAATGGGGTACTGTGTTCGAGTCTAGCTCTCCAATGCTTTGATAGCGCAGCAGTACGGGATCACTCGTCGTCACGAAGAGGATGCTATAAAGCTTCTCTGCTTCCTTTCTGTTTCTCGAGCTGAATGGCTCACATGGTAGCAAATGCGTCTTCTTGTGGGATCAAGTCGTAGCTCACCAGGGAAGTCCGCCAACTTACCATGGAACTTTTGGAGACCTGGGTAGATCGATAGAGTCTATAAGGTTATTTACAAATATAGATAGCAAAACTGCAACCTGCATTTCACAAGCAACTTATGAGCAGGTAAAGT